CAACCAGGCTCCAGGTATCTTGTGATAGGTTCATTGTTAGCCTGCGTTAACGAACGATCTACGCTCTATGCAGACACGTTAACATGGTTCCGACCCCAGGTCTCGTTTATAATATCACAGGATGGCTAAGATCGATTTAACTCTACCGCAGCATTTAAAAGATACTTCGTGGAATCCTTAGCTTTCCGCAAGACTGCTAAACGACTTTACCTATATGTTAAAGCATTGCCCGATGCCTATGAGTGCTCATACTTTGCCAGCAGGAAACATAATGCTCGTTTTTCGATTCAGAAGCGGATAGGTGGCTATTTCAAGGGGAGTTGGTTTAAAGATCCATTGGCCGTTAGGTTGTCTCAGCTAGTTTTAGGGTACTCGGCAGTTCGTGAGCAGCCGGGCTAGGAAACTGAAGGAAGCTCCGGTGTCAGAAATGGTTTCTAACTGCTCTTTTGTTCATGGAAGTTGTATTATGTACTACAAATCCTAGGGACTGATTACAAAAGGAGCAAGGTGAAAATAAATAAAAAGAATTTGCACGTTGACGTTCGAGGCGCGGAGAATCCGAGGTCTAGGACGAATATTTGTCAGCTGAACGGAGGACATGCCCTAGACAGTTGAAATTTTTCTACAATTTCTGACTCTAGCATGAAGTACCAAAGACCTTCCGGCGCAGTCCTGATCCATCTGGCTGACGGTCATTGTGAGGCGGAGATCCGAATGACCACATTCCCGAAGAGTACGGTGCATCATCCTGGTTGTCGTCCTTTTCGTTACCATTCGGAGGTGAAGGTAAAGGAGGGTTCTGGAAGCACAGCTGTCTCCTAGAAGACACACGGTCCTCCGTCGGGTACTCATTTGAAGTTGATGCGGTCTAGGCAAACGAGTAGGAAGAGGAGAGAGAGCTTAAATGAACCACCAAAAACCAAAGCTGAGGTGTGTGTGTGTTTAAGTACATCAGGTAGCCCTGCTGACCTGCCGTTGGTGTATGTGGCGTTCAATATCTGCGACCATGGCATTGCGTTCCTGGACGATTTCCTTTGTGAATTTGTATAGCCTTCGTAGCCTGTACTCCGCTTTCGTCTTCTGTTGTTGCATGTCCGCCAAACGTATATCCCTTTCGGTCAGCGCATTGGCCAAGTAACCGGCTGGCTTGTCTACCGTT